GGTTGAGGAGCATTAAGTGTAGAACCACTAGACTGAGGAACAGCTTGGGCTGTTAGACTCATGAGTCTCTAATCAGAATAATCACTGTGATGCCACTTGACTGTTGATATGCGCTGCTGACTATTCATGCTGCTGATTTATTTCATGCTGCTGATTTATTTCATGCTGCTGATTTATTTCATGCTGCTGTGTTCATTCATACTCATCTGCTCACACAGACTCATGTTTGTGCTGCTGTTGTTCGGCGTATTGTTTTTGTACTACTAGTGCTTAGCGTATTTTTAGTTTAACGTTTTTCTTAGTTCATATCTTAGATCTTATTACTGTTTTTCTTTACAATTTATACTTCTGTTGGATGTAACTGGGACCCTGTGTACACAATTTCGTTTCATCACATGTACCACATGGGGTGCATATGACAAATAAATAAACTTGTGGCGTAACGGTACACGTTGGTGTATTGAACCGTTTCGGTACAGCATGTTCAGTTCGGTCCACATGCGTACCGATTCGGTTATTTTTTGACTCATTAAATTTTAATAACGAGAGATTATGCACCGCGAAACTAAAGTTCCTACGCGTGTTTCAGCACGGTGCTATTATCTTGCAGCACATGTAGCGTTAGCAGCCTAGCAGGCAATGAACAAGTCATGTCGTTGTGGTCTCCTGTTTGGGAACATTATGGTTTTCTTGTTAAAAGACAAGTGAACAAATCAAAGCTGTGTGTCGACGTTGTTTCACGGAGATTGGATCTGCAGCAGCAACATGTCTAACTTGTTAATGTGCTTGAAACGATATCATCCGAACATGAATGTAGCTTGTTGCAAAGAGTGATAACAGCAGCATTTAAACAACCTTTATCAGGTAATTCAGGTCGGTCCAGAGCAACAACACAAGATGTAGGAGTTTTTAAAGCTCTGGATCTACGTCTGAATGTTGTTGATGTGTCGGCTATAAGCATAAAGTTCTTGAGCCGCGCTACAACATCCATCCCGTCATCACTTCAGCCAAACAGTTGTAGCAGCACTTTGTGAAAAACTAAAACTGATGTTGTCATCAAACCCAGGAGCAGATTTAAAGCCCTGCCCCATGATGATCAACGAGAGATTCAACCACCTCATATGATGACCATGCAAAAAGAGGTATTATTGTGATCTAATTCACTTTTTTAATTTAACATTATAATCTTATTAACTCTTTTTTTTTTATCTCTGTGTTGTTTGCAGTCTGAGGATAGCGGCTGTCTTCTTCATCCACCAGATCACCTCTAGCTAAGAAGTCTGTAAAGACTGAACTTGTTTACTTGGCATATTTTCAAAATAAACATTTTGTAAGTCTTTATTTTGGCCTTTTTTGTACTGAAAATTAACTGAACCGAGCCCTCCTTGAAACTGAATCGAAAACCAAAATGTGATTTATATACATATATATATATATATATATATATATACATATACATATATATATACATATACATATATATATATACATATACATACATATATACATACATATATACATACATATATACATACATATATATTTATATATACACACACATATAGTTCAAACACAGTCTAATTGTTGCCAAGCCTGGCACACACATTCCAGACAGCTTAAACAGCTGATAACGTTTCCAAATTTGTCGACAATCCAGATTTCCACCAACTCCAAAAGCAGAATCCAGTTATTATAAATCTAATTATGTTTCCGAGGTAAGAGGGCTCTCCTTCACCTTGTCTTCTTGAGAAAATGTGATCAATTGCATTCAGAGACCAGATGAACAATTCCATAGTTTACAATTCGTAAGGGATGCAAAAAGGGGCTCTAAAATTTTTCAAAGAAACAAAGAGCAAAAGCAGAGACAGAGAGGAGGAGGAAACGTCTGCTTTCGCCGAGAGCAAGCAGGAAAAAAATGAATATATAGTGAAGTGTGTATTTCAGGCCAGACAATAAATCAAATTTCAAACAGAAGTGGAGACAACAGAGAAATGACCTAAGCTGAACCTGACCCTTCTGTGGAGTGCTGCAGCAGCAGGACCTTCATTTTGGGAGGGATTTCTGACAAGATGCTGAGGTGGTTGGGACTGATGGTCAGCTGTCTGAAGGCCTGAAAACAAACAGCTGATATTAGAATGAAACAAGGCATCAACAGTTTGATCTGTAAAGTTTGCTTTGGAAACTTTGGTCCTGCAGAAAGTTTTTTTTGTAAAATAATAAGAATAAAAGAAAAACCTTCACATTAACCTAAAGACCAGAATATCTAAAAAGAAACCCAGAACATTGCATAAAGACCAGAAGATCTCAAAAACCAGAACATATAACATTTCACAAAGAACAAAACATCTCATAAAAACAACAACATGTCATAAAGACCAGAACATCTC